CCCAGTTGTCTGTCAAGTCGAATGGCCAAGTCGACTAGGGAGCTGAGGTCAGGGGGCTCGTTCTTGGTATTAAGCTCGGCTTTAATATTATTGTTGAGGCCGTGCCAGAAGGCCGCTCGTAGCGGGCGGTCCTCCCAGCCGGCCTCAGTAGCAAGAACTTGGAAGTCGACAGCATAGTCTAGGACCCGCTGAGCCCCCTGACGGATGGTCAGGAGCTCCTTAGACGCTTGGCTCTGGTGGGAGGAAGGAGAAAAAACAGGCCTCATGTCGTCCAAGAATTCCGTGATGGTGGTACCGATGAGTAGACCACTGGAGTCCGCAGCCTTGGCCCAAGACAGTGCTTTTCCTCGGAGACGGTTTATGACATAGCTGATCTTTTCTCTGTCAGTACGGTATGTCCGTGGTTGATGCTCGAACACCCGGCGGCACTGCAGCAGAAAACCCCAGCATTTCTCCACATTGCCGTCAAAAATGTCCGGTTCAGGTATCGGAGGATCTGGGCGGGGACTGGTAGAACAGGGACTGGTAGAATTATACAGTCACCCTTTGGGAGGTTGTTGGTGATCATGGCAGTGAGGTAATGACAAAGTCAGCATGTTTTTATGTTTAGGCAGATGTAGTAAAATTGAGATTAGACTGAGATTTTGTCAAAATTTAAAGTGCTAAATGAGAGCAAAAAAAGGACGGACCCAGGTGACTAACTTCAGTGCAAGTAGTGCTCGGTGTATTTACAGTGATATTTACAAGGAAGTGAATAACCAGGTTGAAGTGGGACCGGGTGTCGAGCCGCAGAAGGTGAATAACAGTCAGTGGTGGAATGATGAGGGAAAGGCCGGGCTGCGGACGCTGGGACTCACTCCTGGGCTGGTCGTGGTGGAAGGTTGCTGAGGAGACAGAGTTAGTACATGCAGTTAATGGGAGACTGTGCATCGACCTGCGTGGTGGAGATGGTGCGGGGTTGAGGAGGTCCGTGGTCCGGAGAAGCGACAGAGGCGAGGAGGCTGAGACAATGGGGCACAAGACTGGAACGGGGCTAGGGCAACAAAACGTGAATACAATAAACTTAAAGAATAAGGCCAGTCATTTAAACTGTATTTTCAACAATACCAATGTAGGAACTAAAGCCAAAAATGAATTGTCTTTAGTCATGGTTAATGTCTGTCGATCTGTTAGTCCTGGATTTGTTTATTTGTTTGTGCCATAGGCCCCCCAAAAACAAAAACACATCAGGGAAACGCACCACTGCACTGGGTGACATGGTTCATCATTATGAAACACCAGACCTCAGTATTTGATAAAAAATGTTACCCCGAAGGCTCCGAACCACCTTAATTTTTTCTTAACTTTTTTTTAACACCAGGTATAAGCAACAATTTAATAGGACTTTGTTGTTCTACTGTTTTGTTTCAGCTTTCACCACTGGCACTGACCAACAAGTTCAACCAATATAAGATCAAAATAAGATCTACGTTTTGTGACTATCAAAATCCTTGATTAAAACACTTGTCTGCAGGTCTTCCTGTATATTGCCAAAAATATTATATGCATCACAGGAGAACAGTGTGAGAGCTCAGCTGATGTTATCTTGAATACAGCTCAGCCTACATCTAAGTAAGCGAGGACATTTCTTCCAGGGCGCCCTCATTATCATCATCTTGGTTACTGCTGTGGAAAGAGGCATTCCTACATTCTCCTGCATGTATAACAGTATACCAGGATTTATCACTGCGTCCTTCTTTATCAGCAGGCTGGGGCTGTTTTCTTGGCTGATGGCCATGTGTTGATGTCAGGCCATGTCTGACTCTGTGGTGGCATCACTGAGATAAAGAGCAGCGCTTGACCTGGACACAGTTGCCTTGACATGAACACATGGCTTAAAAATGGCTTTGACAAAAAATTGTATGTGTGTGTGTGTGTGTGTGTGTGTGTGTGTGTGTGTGTGTGTGTGTGTGTGAGAGAAAGAGACAGCTGACAACTCTGAGCATGTACAGTAATAATAAGCAGGACTCCAGGACTGCGGACTCCAGAATGATGGCATGGTGACTCAGAAGCTCAGACACACATATCTGTAACAACTCCCTCACTGTCTCTCAAGCACACACACAGATTCATTCTTTCCATTACAAATAATACTTAGTTTGAAATTTTATTTCCAAAAGATGAGCAGTTTGCAAAAAAGAAAAAAGAAAAGAAAGAAAGAAAAAGGTTCTTGGGGAAAATGTATAGTTTTACATGAGAAATAATGACACATGGCACATACACAGATAATGAAGACGTTTAGGTACAAGGACGAGGCAAACCCAGTGGTTTCTGGAAGCCATTACTTTGGTAAATATGCTCTCCATAACAGGCATCGTACATACAGTATAGCAACAGATAATCAGATGCTACAGAGAAACAGGAAAACTATTTGTTCCCCAGTACTTATCTGAAAGGAACAGTCAGACAAGGTACGAAATATAAATGTTTGGTGTCAAAGTGAGAATCTGATGAAGAGGAATGATATCGGTTTAGTCTTTGAACATCCTGTACAGTGGTAGCATTAGATCTACAATATGTTTAGACCTGTGCCTCCTTTCCCAAAAGCATCTTGGCATGAAGATTATCTTAGTTTCAAAATTAAGATAACTCTGGCCTTAAGTTGCTTGTGGGTAAAGGGTCCTGGATGAAACGACTAGAAGCAAGGAGGAACTCCAAGCCTCACGCCACTGAAATTTAAAAACAGACAAATGGACTGCACTTTTATAGCATTTTTCTACCATAGTGGACAAAGAGCTCTACAGTATGCCTCTCCTTCACATGCAGCTGCCAGGCAAGGAGCTGAGGTGCAGTGTGGGCAGAAGGGGCCAAGAATTCAACCACCATCACTGTAATTAATTGACAACCCACTCAACTTCAACAACAGGCTTCCAAGAACTCCAAAGCTTATTTACACATACTGTTAATGATAATGCACAACAAGGTGTCCCAGCACAAGAAAATAATTCATTAAGTTGTGGCAAAGAAGGCTGCAGCTTAAAGTGAGGCATCATTTCCTCTGCCAAGTCCATTATTCTTTACAGTATATCAGAATAACCTCGGAGTGCATTATTGTGATTGCACCGTGGCGAGACCACATTTCAATCTTCATCTATTTTTTATGTTTCTAATGTACCATTAAAAACTTTGTTATGTACAGTTTTGACCTTTATTTGTGCACCTTTTGAAGTGTATTTGAGGTTTTCATATATGATTTTTAAAGGCACCTGCTAAGTCAGCCAGTATCCATCTAGAAAACTGATCACCAGTATGTCCAACAGTCACCTTAATTTGTTTTTACGGTGGAGCTCAAACCTGACAACCCCACTTTAACTACAGGATGTTTGTCACTGAGTCAACTGGTGAAGAAAAAACTTCTCAGAAACCCTTTCTTAAAAGGCATTGTCTTGTTTTTCCCATTTCCATCACTGATATAGCTGTAATAACTGAGTTTTGGCCACCTTAGGGGCTGTGGGAGCAAACAGTGGACAATATCCACATATTTTCATTCTTTAAATTGATACGGCGGCTTGCAAAACACGTGTAGGTAGTCGCTAGTATTCATTTGATCTTGTGTTTCTGAGGATGTGATAAATGTAAGTCCAATATTTACTCTTTTTTAGATCTATTTGTGGTCTTGACTTACCCCTGAAGGAAGTATCAAGTGATTTAGCTGCTAAATGCTCCTCTGTGTTCACAAGCTAGTCTATAACTGTGTCTATTTGCTTTGTGGTGATGAGCGTTTTTGTTGAAATCAATACCATGAGAGCAGTGTATCAAAACAATAATGTTGCAGGCCAGAAAACCAATGAAATGAGCTGACATAAAGCTTCACAGATAGTAGAGAAAGTGCACAGCTGGGTAAGAGTTTCTTCTGGCTTTGCCACTACAATCAGCCCCTTTTACATACAAGTACTCAAGTGATCCACTGGTTATAAAAAATATTAATAATAGTCACTTTAAGTAAACAAAATACAAACTAAGATAGCAGTGGAGGATCACAGTTTCCCCCTGTACTAAACACACAGAGATAAAACTGATATCCTTATTGTTTTTTCACTGAAGGTTAGACAGCAAACATTCCTCTGAGCTTCAGCTTGTTCCTTTAAACAACAATAACATAACAGAAATTGAAGTTATATAAAGCCATCTACATCCAACAAGCTGACTCCCCATGTACGGCTGCTTCAGATTAATTATAATCACACTACTACTGTCACTTTCTCCTTGTGTTGTGAGAATGTGTGAACAACTTAAAAGCAAGAGTTGAAGTGAAAAAAATGAAACCGCTCAAAGCAAACAGAAATCCTCTAAGGCAATTTCAGCACCAAATGGTTAATTATATAACGTACCTTTAGAGTCTGGGATATTTATCAGTTTTTTCTTTACTTTAAAGCATTGTTTATCATATGGCTACAATATAAGTGGTCTATGCATACTGTATATATTAAAACATTTGTCAAAATCCTTTAAGAGATCACACAACTTGGGCTTTAAAAAAAACAACTCTATATCCACCCAGGTGTGATCAGACTCTAATCACAGACCAGATCTTTGGCTACTTGTCATGGTTCTTTACAGCACTCATTGAATCTCTCTGACACTTACACATTTACCCAGGTTGCAACTTCCACAGTGAAACGAACCATGTGATGTAACAAGATCTTTCATTTTCAGTCCACATGTCATAACTACACCACGTCCACATAGTTGGCTGGGTAAAGCCCCTCCCACCCGTCATCCTTCCTGCCTCGACACCAGCCCTGTTCATCCTCATCCTCAATCTTCAGAAACTCCTCACCTGCAGGAAGGGGCATAATTAAGATTCTAAACAGTTTTTAATTAGGGTTGCAACAAATTATTATTTTCCTTCATGGTTAGGGTTAGACTGCTTATTTTGTTCTTGATTAATCTTCATGATAAATTTCCCAGTGCCAAAGTTAACATCTTCAAATAGATTGTTTTCTCTGACCAGCAGTCCAAAACCCAAAAGTATTCCAATTATTATTGCAGAGATTTAGGAATATCTCCATTAAAAAATGACTCAACAGATTGTTTGTGCCAGCAGTTTAATACGACCTACTTTTGCATATGGTTTGGCGACATCTAGTGAGTGCAATAATTCTGACATGAGCAAAGTAGTACATTAGGTCAGTGGTCCCCAACCTTTTTACACATGAATCATTGTAAACTTGATTGTAAATAAAGCGCTTTGTGTCTAGTTCGCTAGCTGTTAGCAGCCTATCATAATGTTAGTGGACTAAGTCAGCCTCTGCTTTGTTCAAAGTAAATTAATAATAAGCTTACCTCGGTTTTGATATAATCCTGTTGAGCTTTGCAGCTTCACCAGCGTTGAACTCGGGAAGAAATTTGACGGAAGCAATAATATCTTTTAGCTCTCTTAGCATATTTATTGAGACAAAGAATAACACACCTGAGTACAACTTTTAAGGCCGCCATCATTTGCGATCTCCAGCAGTTGATCTTCTTCTTGCACAGACCTGCTGGATTCACCTGGTTTGTTGACAAATGGGTTGCGGATCCCTTCCTTGGCAGTTCGTGGGTCCTTTGTGGTTGGGAAGTAGCGCTCGAACTCTTTTAAAAGCAAAGACATGTGATCGTGCACCAGCTGGGAGAATGAAGACTCAGGCTCAGTCTCACCCAAAGTCTCATGTTTGAAACATGTCCAAAATGCCTCTGTTGACGCGTCGTCCCCACAAATCCAGTTTGGCTTTAAATGCAGCTACTTTATCTGCCAACTTGAAGACAGTTGTCATTTTCCCCTGAAGTGACAGATTGAGTTCATTGAGCAGGCTGAATATGTCGCACAAGTAAGCCAGTTTTGGCGCTCAAGTGACCGAGATGTAACCGAGAGAATGCGGTCATTTTTCAAAATAAAAGATCGTTCAGACTCAGATAATAAATAAAACGGAAATAATTAATGATTTCTTGTGCGGCCCGGTACCAATTGATCCACGGACCGGTACCGGTCCGCGGCCCGGGGGTTGGGGACCACTGCATTAGGTGACCTAGCATATACTGTATAGACAGAAAGTCACTCTCAGGAGGAGACAGGGGTGGATGGCTACATAGGCATACTGTAACCCACTGCTTTCCCCCAGGTGTGTACTGTACATGTTGTTCCTAAACCTCACCAAAATGTGACATAACACAGTGAAACATGAATGCGGGGTTATGGCAGTTTCCCTGACAATGGAGTTGTGCTATGCTTGTTTCCATGATGTTGAAAGTCTGTTAAGCTTTCTGTGGCAACATATGTTGTTATTAATCATGGTTTGAACAATTCCTCCTGGGGTGTATGAGAAGACAAGGAAAAACTACATGCATGGGAGGTATAGGGTGGAGGACTTGTTGAATTCAACCATTAATCTTTTATAGCAAAATAGTTATAGATTAAACTGTGCTGATCAACTAATCAAACTCTAAAACAATATACAATAATTTGACTATTTAAAGATGTATATATTATGTAGACTATACTAAAACACTATAGTTTAGAAACAAAAATATACTATTTTCCACATACTTTTCTGTTTATAATCAATTCAATCCACAGCTGTGCATTATGGTAAGTTGTGAACATGTGAAGTTTTGTGTTTACCTGCTTTGAATGACAGCTCATCCGTCTCCTGGCCAACATAATCATACAGAGCTCTTACTTTCACTCCTCCAATCATCACACTAGAGGACAAAAAAGAGGAGTCTGTCTCATTAGATGGCTGATCAGACACTTCAGCCTGGAAACAGCATAAGACTGTTTCCTTTGGGATAGATGTACTCACCTCTTCTCTGTTATTCCTTTCTTTTCTACTTCTTTCTTCCCTTTGTTGGCTTTCTTTTCAGATGTCCATTCCTAAAAACCATTTGAACAAAATGATTACAAAATATTTAAATGCAGACCAACAAACAGACTGCAAAGAATTAAAATTCACATCAATCTGAATTGGTTGACAAAAGCAAACAAACAAACAAAAACACCTGGAAATGAGGCCAATCGGTGGGCATGCCAGGCCCATAGGTATTTTTCCACCATCGAAGGTCCTCTTGCTCGTCGATGGACATCAGTGTGTTGTGGAGCTCATTGTACACGGCCCTCACACTAAATGACAAGTGGTGAATAAATAAGAGAACCCCAAAAAAAGACTTGTAACTCATTTAAAAAAAGAATGGCCTGACTTTCCTAAAGGCTTGCTAGAAGGTGTTACTTATTGTGTATAATCAGCCATTTTGAGTAAATTCTTACTCATAAATTAAACAGATTAGTAGAGAATATAGTTTCTCTCATGTAGCCCATATCGCCCTGTGTCCCATGCAGATCTGATAAAGTGATTAAGCTGCTGTGCTAGCTGTTGTTTCCTTCATTAGAGTAGAAGTGAGTCACTGAGAAACAGCATTTAATTAGGTCAATTAAGTCAAATTATTGATTTTAACATACTTAGCTTAGCAAACTGGTCAAGCCACAGTTAAAAAAAAATCTGTTCTGCAAGCAAGACCATCTGCCAGCAAGACCACAAACACTGATTGTCATTTAATCGACAGAAACAGCAATTCAGGTGTTTAAAGAACTATTTACAGCCTTTTTCTTAAGCAACACAGACACACACCACACTGTTTTCATTCCTTGTGGGGACTTTACATTGACTTACATTCATTTCCTGTAGCCTTATCCTAACCTTAACTACTGTATAACCACTACTTGCCTAAACCTAACCCTGACCCTAACCTCACCTTAACCTTAAGCAATGTTGACACCCTAAATTATAGTGATTCAGTGGACCAAGTCCCCACAATGTGAGTGTGTTAACAGGTCCCCAAAATATAAGTAATACAAAGGCACACACACACACAAGCACTGTGGTTAACCTCTCATTGTTGGTAATGTCCAGATGCTTGTGGATGGAGAGAAGGGCCTGTTTGAGGAAGACAATCCTCTTGCGCTCCTCGTCCTGTGCTTGGTCAAAGATGGACTCCATCTCCTCCATGTAGCGAGGAGCATAACGATTTACCTCCTCCAGGACTTTCTCATAGCGGACACGCACCTGTAAGCATTTACGCGGACACCGTCAAACTTTCTCATACTGTTCGCAGAGTCACTGGGTCTCACTCATATACACTCACAAAGGTCGGTGTGCCCTAACCCTGAAGGTAAAATTAAAACCAGGATGACAATTAACGGTTAAAAATGTATTTGAACGAAAGCTTTGCAATCAGTGGCCACTTTACTAGGCACAAGCTATTGTAGTACAATACAACAGCCCTGCTGTAACATCCATCTTTACGAATCTCACATTGTTCAGTTTTGATGACATTTTGGAAATGTGTCATTTCAATCATATGTTTATTGTCCTTTCAATTTACACACCTGAGGGTGGCAGAAAATGAGAAACTCCCCTAAATCTAATGCAGTCCAGTGCAATACCACCACTTTGATCACAGATACCATGATAATTTGAACCTCAGAATATGAATCATTAACCATCTTAACCATGAAACCCTAACATTTTGGATCACATTGATATCATTTGAAAGTTTTAAAGTCATTCAAGAAAAACAATATTTCAGTATTTCAGTCAGTTTTCTTCAGGGTCTAGCTCAGTAAGTCTGCAAGTCTGTAGCATTATTTGTTGTCTCACAGTAGCGAGTTTTTGTCAGCCCTATAAATTGGAATATTCTAAATCAGCACATCCAGAATATTTACTTGAAGCCAATTTATATTTTGGTGTGTGGTAGATCTTATGTGAATGTTATTGTGTAATTTTTGTCCATGCAATGCAGGCATTGTGTATGGAGTTCGAAGCAAAAATATTGAAACTGGCCCTATTTCACAATGGTGAAAAATCCTTTAAAAATTCCTGGATCAGGATGATGATGATGATTCAGATTGGCACCAAAATCTAATGGATTGTTCTGTGGGAGAAACCCTGCCTCTCTGAAACATTTCATCCAGATCCTTTCATTACTTTTTGATTTACAAACAGCAAAAGCATGACCTCCGCCTTGGCCGAGGTAACAAAACAGAGATTGAGTGTGTTTCTTACCTTCTCTGCCTCCTGTTGAACTAGTTCTCTCTCCTCTTGGATCTTCTTCTGTTTGTCAATGGCTACATCCGGGTTTCCCTGAGCATGTGCTTCCCGCTCTCTGGCTGTCTGCACCTTACGGCTCACCTTATGGTATGAACTCCTGGCTTTATCCAGCTGCAGATGGCGCAAAATATACCTTTACTCTCTAGAGTAAGTAGATATACAGCTGTATGAAAAGTTTGGACGGTAGTCCACAAAGGAAAGACTTTCTACATGGACTTTCCATGACATCAACAACAAAAGTGCATTCCTCTCAAAATCAACATAACCCACAGCTAGTTATAAAAACTGAGACATCTTACAGATATTCAGAATAAACTAATTCCTAAATAGCCAGTTTCTTAGTGAGTACCCATTTGTGATGTAGCACTCGTTTTTAGTATGCATGAAGTATTGATTCCCAAAGGGGCTCGTGTATATTTTTGATGCAAATATTGTACATTTTGTCGTCTTGTCCTTTGCTGCTTTCAAATCGCAGTAAAACACAGACTACAGCAGCACATCATTTTGAACTTTTAAGAGAAACTCTTGAGAAGTAGGTTCCTGGCTTAGAAGGCTTTGTTCAAGTCACTAAAGACCTGGGCTGGATGTAAAAATATGAGCTGGGAATGTAATAGAGACAAGTTCCCAAAAGCAAACCCCCAAATTTTAGACCTTTTTAAGTCGTTTGGACCATGGCTTCTGAGCACGTGCAAATCCCGTCTCGATATCCTGGGACTCCTTGAAGCCTCCAAATAACTTCTTGTGGAAGGAGTCCTTCTGCCAGGTCCTGACCTGGTCTCCATCCTCTGACACCAGGGACCGACATATAGAGGCATGTAAGGAGGCCAGCCGGTCAGCAGAGGACAAAAAACACTGCCAAGCCTTCAGCAGAGATCCATACAGTGGACCTGAGGTAGAATGTTGAAAAGGAGCAGGGAATCATAGGTGGTTAAAATGTTCTTTGTATTTTAGAAACCAATGACCATTATTTACACAAATAATGTTATTCAAGCCCACGATGTATTTCTGATTAATTTTTTTTTTTTAAAGCTAATATTTCGATGTTCATCATGGGGTAGCAACGACAGTACTGACTGGAGTCCACTACTGGTTTCCACTTGCTGCTCCATTCGCTGAGCTGCTGGGCGTACTGCCTCTCCACACGGGCTCTCTCTTGGAAACACGCCACTATGTCACTGCAGGCCTGGAAGGCATCTTCTGTTCGTTTCACAGTGCGCTGATAGTTCCCAGGCTATGGGGACACAAAGAGAGAGGAACATCTACTCTTCAAAACAGAGTGGGAGGACAGAGGGTCAATGGACTTTTGTTTGAAACCCTAATACTAGTACCCAAAAATATTTCTTGCACTGAAAAAGCCAAAAGTGGCTGATATTTTTTTTGCCAGTATTCAGTACAGTCTTTTAGATACTTTGATTTTTAGTTTCACCACTTAAGTGCAGGGAATACAAAACAGTACATCTGTGCACTGCTTGTTCCTGGCAGAGTGGGAACAACATGACTATAAACTGAATTAGACAAACTAATTTAGAAGCTGAATCTGTTCAAGGCAGAATAAGACTTCTTCTTTTTCTACTCCTGCTACTACTATTACTAACACTGGTATAATGGCTGGTGCCTTTACTCTTAGTACGAATAATACAACTAATAACAGTATTATTGTCATATTAGAACTACTAAAACTATGGTAATTACATATTGCTATACTGTTACTATACTGCTGTGCTGTACAACTATCAGTATAAGTCTTCCTATTACTACTAACATATTATGCCGTAAGTAAACTTTATGTAGAAATAATAGTACGTTTATCTAAGGGGAAAAAGATAATGCAGCATGTAAAATACAGGGATACAAAACAGAAAATAAAAGACAATGACTTTGTGCCAACTCTGGAATTTTGAGTAAGAAAAAAATTGTTCAAATGTTCAGGAACTACAGCAGCAAGACTGTGATCACCAGAGATTTTCAAATTCTCATCTTGTTAATACTGCTGCTGCTACCAGTACTACTACAGTACTATTTATGATTACTGCAACTATAAGTGCTATAGATCTTTCTCACACCTGATAAACCAGCACAAGGAGGGGAAGCAGTAGGATTTATAGCATTAAGATAGTAGTTTGATATTTTGAAAAGTGTATGCCCATTTGCTCTTTTTCTAAGAGTTAGATGAGAACACTGACATGTGTACACTAAATATCAACTACAGCCAGTTAGCATTAGCTTAGCATAAACAGTGGAAACACAATGCACACCTCTGTAAAGTAACAAAATTCACCTATCAGCACCGCTAAAGCTTACTAGTTAAAATGTTACATGTAACCTGTACAAAACTCTCTGTGTAAAAATGACATCTTGCTGTTTTAGGGCAGGTTATGTACCAGACCCTTTGCAGTACACTGTTACTCTGCTGGTTGCCTGTCAACTGCTCCCTATTTCTAGTATTTATGCTATGCTAAAATGACTCCTGGTTTGGCCTGTATATTTATCAGCAAGGACATGGATAAGCATTTCACAAAACTGAGTTATTCCTTTAACAAATGCTCAGTTCCATTTAGGTGTCCCAGTAAGTTGTGCCAGTGAAAGAGCATGAAACCTGCAACTTGTGCATCTCAACGGAATGCAAGTGCCACAAGTCACTCTTCACTGGCATTAAGTTTCTTGTGGTAAACTCCAATGCCGCCAGCAGCGTGGGGTGTGGTCAGTGGACATGAGGACGAGGCCTGGCCATAAAGAGTCAGACAAGGAGAAGGAGGACAAGAAGGCAACAGGAAATACCCTGAGTGGAGCATATCTGAAGCAAGTGGTGTGTTTGTGAATGTGGAATTTGGAAATCTTTCTGTAATTTTCCTGGCATCCACTGTCAGCCTCTGCTCAGCACTCACTCCTACTCTCCTTTTCACTGTCAGTCTCACTCTATACATTTAGACAGCTGGTTGAATGTTTCTGGACACCATAAAGAGTTTGCTGTCATGTTGTGTTAAATCATCTACAGTAATTCAGTGCACGTATTGTAAATACCATATTACAAAATCAAGGCTGACAGTTCACTTGTCAAACATAGATGTAATTAATAATTTGAAGAGTTAGCTCTAGTTACTGGTGTTCTGTATGCTGGCCCATTGACTTGGCTAGGGAGGCTACGTGTAACTGTGCCTTTATTAATATACACCTGTGTTTGTCCTGATATGTCAAAATAGGTCACTTTTCTTAATAGGAAAAAGCATCATTCTATAGCACATAAATTATTGCACGTCTGCTTTGTAACTGAGGTCAACACTGTCTTGCTAATTCTACACACTAAATACATTACACACAGTACACATTTTTGGTGATGCCTTTTGAATTTGTAAGCCACGAGGCTCTTATGTTTGCTTTCTTTTTTTCTTTCATTCCCCAGACTAAAAATAACTGCTCACTCTCAAATATGAGCAGACCTTGGCTCTCCACACTGATGTGCATTTGTCACAGTATTTTACCAAAAACCTGAATCTTTGTATTTTAATAATTGACAAGCTGTTCCATCCTAATGGGACTGTGGTTAATCAGATGCGGGTGCACTGAAAAGATCAAGGAGTTAAATCAATACATGCCAAAAAGTGGAATTGTGTGACCAATATGATGCATATTTTCTGATACAGGTAGTCAGGGTAATCAAAATATAAAATTATAAACATTACTTCATTCACTCTGGGATAATCTGTTTTTATATTTCAGATATTGGTAGTATTTACTATAGTTTTACTGTTAATGCATCTTTTAAGAAAATCCATATATAGACAGGTGACAAATTAAAGGAACAACCTGAAGAAATGAGTCGTCTTTGCCTGCCACCGTCAGCTCCCACTCAGCACTCACTCCTACTCTCTGTCATAGTTTCTCTTAGACACATTTGGACATCTGGTTGAAAGATTTTGGACACCACATACACGCCACCATATCTAGATGATAAAGCCCCCATTCATAGGACATGAGGAGTCACACTGGCACTTTATGTTGGTTTTTCCTTTAACCCACCTGTATGTGTTTGCTATATCCATTAGCTCTAAAGACACATTTTGATTGTTCCAAAGGTTCACATAATTTAAAGTGGTTAAAAATTTAAATACAACATGTACCAAACATTCACCCAGATCGTAAAGGTGATTTATATTTATTCTAATTTCAAAGAAAGCAATCACAGCACTCGGTGTGTTTTAAATGAAACACTGGTGTTTCCTTGCCTTAATCAGAATCAACTGGTGTACTTCTAACCAGTCCCTACCCCCACTCTCTCTCTCTCTCTCTCTAGGCTTTTAGCAACACACGATAGAGGCACTTGTGAGTTTTCTCCACCCTTACTTTCTTTCTGCCTCTGTTGTGGGTTGCACTGACTCTCCTCACTCGTCTGTGATTTAAACAGAAACAGCTGAGGAATCCAGTTTGAGGCCAATAGCTGCGCTGCACAGACCCAGTTGGCCCATCTTTGAGGCAGATGTGGAGCCGCTACAAGAGAGTCTATCCAAGCAATAAAAGGCAGCATCGAAGAAAATGGCCACAGTCCCATGGATCAAATTCAGACTCTAAAGTGTGTCAGTGCACAGAAAAAGTGCTGGAAACCACAAGTAGAAGGTCAATACTGGCGGTGAGACAAATTGCCTCATGGAAAAAAGTTAAAGTTGAAGCTGAAGTATTTTATAAGTGCCTATAATAAAACATATCCATTTTATGAGACGCAGCAGAGCGCTAAACAACAGATTGAAAGAACAGCTGACAGAAATAAGATAAAATCTAATCAGGCCAATCTAACGTTTACAGGCTGTGTTGCAGACTTGGAAAAAGCAAGAAGGGTATGTTGGTGATCACACACAAACATTATTAATCTAAAATGGGACCAAGGACAGTGGGACTGGGTCCAAGTTGTATCTATTGATATTATTAGCTCTCTTGTGTACTCTAATGCACCATAATTGCAAACCTCTTCACTGACTTTGCAAATTCAAAACAGAAGAGCCTTTGTTTTACAGTATAATGACTAACAGCCTTTGAGCATAGCAGCAGGATGACATAGACAGTAACTGGCCTGGAAACACATCCAACACAACAGGAGGCTGCCAAAATTACAGGGAGGGGAGATATGAAAGTGGAGCCAATGGGAGACTAAACCAGTGGCAATGGCAGTAGCACACTCAAATTAGATAGTCAGCCACTTTGAATGTTGGATGTGTTTACAGCTTTAAAACAAGATTTTGATTTGATTGATTTGATTTGATTTGATTTATTCTTTCAAGCATGTAAAGACAGTTGATATGTCAACACACATAATTTTACACATATCCAACAAATGCTAATCCAATATCAATTTGCTTATACCTAGTACATGCTTGAATGGAGTAGGAAGAAATCAGACTTATCCAGTCCTACCCCATGACATCATCTTACCATCACTGGTTTGCAAGCAGTA